CAATGCACTGATCTTATTCGGCTTTCCTTTTGTAACTTTTAAAATGCAAACACAAAGTCTAAAGTAAACCAAATTATACTAAAAATCCTAACGTTTGAACAACTCGATACTTTTTATTTTATTCAGGTATATACTGACAGACCTTTCTTGTCATGACTCATGACGCACAAGTATTAGATGGTTAGTTAAAATTTTTAAAATTTAATATAATTTTGATTAAGCATTTCCTTCTTTTCACCTGCATATTGCAGTAAACATTTAATTGCTCTTTTATACTATATGAAAATTAAGAAAGTTGCACAATAATTATCGTATGACACTTTACCGTGCAATTTCACTTCTATCGTACAGTATACTTTTATATGTTGTTCATAAAGGCATAAAAAACAACCAGACTCAAATGTCTTTTTCTTTTCTTACTTTTAGTATTGAACAAGTATTGTGTAAATTGTGCAACTAACTCTTTTTATGTATTTACTATTATTATCACTACACATGCAGCCTACCGAGTCTGTGTTGTAGCAGGCAGCCAGGCGGTTAGTGGGTGCCCTTCTGGCTGGACGGTCCGCAGGGCACATGCACTGTAACGCGCACTCTTGCTGCAAACACACGACGCTATCACAGCCATGCTCTACAACGCCTGGCATATCCTGATGTATTATTTTATTATTGCAATAGTTATTGTTTATTTTATCCTTGGTTGTTTTTTATACCTCTCTAACGGGATACTATTGCTGGCAAGCGCAACAGTTAATGTTTTTTTTAACAACAATTGACAACATAGATATCAATGTTAACATGACAATATATATTAGCTCCATTGTACTCACTAATCACCCTACATAATATTATTAATAATTAGCAGCTTTCCGTAAGTTGCAAAAATTTACTACTTTAACAATGTATTATAAAGTAAAAAAAATAAATCGTGGCCAATGATTTGTTGCGAAAGCAACTGCAAAAAGACATTAAACTTTGGTGAACCAAATAATATTGATAAATGTGCCAAAAAGCTGATTATTTTTTTTAATTAATAGCGTTTATTGGAAAAAAATAAATTAAATAAGTTAAAACAACAAAAACAAGCATTACTAAAAACTACAAACAAAATTAAATTTTTCTGAGTACAGTAACATTTCTTCCTAAATAAACCAATTAGTAACATAAATACATCAAAATATGCCAACAATTTAAATATTTCGAAAATTAAACTTATTAATGTACATGTGTACAAAAATAGATAAGCAAATCTCAAAAAATAATTATAAAAACGGCAGTTATTCAATTATCATACACAATTTGCAATTGTAGTATTTATCGCCGTCAAATTCTATAAAATTACCAAAAAAGGAACATATTTAGTCAGAAAAAAAAATCATTCGCATTCAGTGGTAAAATTATACAGAATAGGTGAGAATAACTACACAGAAATCAATTCAGAACTGACCAAAAACGATTAAAAAAAAAAAACTATTCTACTAAGGGCACATCAAGAATTGTTGTCAAACTATTTTACCTCCTCTAGGTAGTGTTGCTGTGTGTGTAGGAGATTCGGAACTATTGAAAACTCTGTTTAAATCTGAACTAAGATCTCGAGTAACACTTCTTCGCCATGGCGTACTCAATCCAGACCCACCGTCTGAACCATGTTCCCGATTAAAGGCACGTCCTAACGGTGAACGCCTGCTTAATAAATAAATAAATCTCATAATCTCAGTGTACATCGTTGGTTTATTTAGACATAAAATCAAATAACATTATATTACACACAATCACTTACTTCACTTACTTAATTTTTGCCGTTTTTTTCTCATGTGAACAGGAATATTGCATGCTTGTAAGTAGAATAAAACAAAAAATAAACCTACTTAACAGAACAATGTTTTACTCACAGTCAAGAGATAATTTAAGCAGGGGAGCAACAACCTAGAGTCCAACGGTCAACCTCTTCACGGGTGTCTACGAAAATGCCTCTTTTAGAGAAAATTGAGCTATGTATACGCTAAGACCGACAGTTTGGCCACATAACTCTGTACGAAGACGTATTTAAACAATAATCTCAAGCACATATTGGATACATTGGACATGCGTGAACTGGCTAAAGAATTCGTTAATAACTGTACAATAACAAAGGATGGAATATAAACTGCCAATAAATAATTGTAATACATTTCCAGAACTATTTACTGCACATGACAAGGTTTTTTTGCTAACAACCGAGTAGACGCCTCCAGCCCCCTTTAGAGATTGTTGCGCCCCTGAATTTAACTGACTGCAAAAATGAACATTAAAATTGACGTAATTACCTGGATAAGGCTTCAAATCTATTGGGAAAATTCAAAAAGTTTCTAGTAAGCAAACTACTTCTTGGAAAGCCAGGATGCGAATCTTCAACATTCAATCTTGACGTGAGATCTCGTACCTAAAAAATATATAAACGTTTCACTTTCATGCCGCGCAGTTTACTTAAATGACTTCGTTCAACTAACCCTAGAGAGCAAAGTTGAAAATAGATTTTCGGCGGTTAAAATTTCAAATCCATCATCGTCATCGTCTTCGCCAGAACTGAACGAGTCGTTGCGTTCAAGAGTTGCTCTTCTTGGCCTTGAACTCCTAACAATAAAAATTATTAACAAATTAGTGATTAATGTATCAGAAACAGAAATTAGTGGCGGTGTAACATAAATATAAATAAATTATTACAACAATACAATTAGTGTAATTGCTCATTACATGTATCGTAACTAATATAAACCATTCAATATTATTAGGAACAGGACATGTATGCACGTACCTCAAACTGTGCATTCTAAATAGATCTTTCTTTGAATCCTCGTCGCTATCTTTTCCGAACGAATTTCTGCGAGGTATTGCCGAAGAGAAAACTGACTCATCTTCAGACCCTTCACGGTCATTAATTAACGAACTATAACGTATATTCAACAATTAAACTGTTATATTATGCTGTGCAATATTTCAAAATTCTGTCAACATAACATTAAGGAAAAGTACTAGGCACTAATCCTACAAAATTTAACATGCAACAACAATTTTAAATAATTAGAAAAACCGTAAATTTTATAATGCACCTCATTCTTTTTGCTCGTCCAAATTTACTTTTATTTGTCATGGTACTCGTGGTGCTACCAGTTTCACTGGGTTCCAAACTTCCTGCTCTTGGTGTTACGTAACCGCCGCCTTCAACGGCAATGGGTATAATGTACTCTCTAGGAGACTTCCGTATGGGTTCACCTTTAAGTGATGTGCTGTCAGAATCGGATTCTTGCGTCGACTGTCGCGATAAACTTTCCGATCTGTTTTTATGAACATTGATTAAAAATAGTTATACTCTAGTTCTTTACTTTAACTTTCATTACCTTTGAGACGCGGAAGAACGTCTTGTTTGATGAACCTTAAAAGGTGGTTTCGCACTTGTTGGCGATTGCCCATCATCTTTTGAATTTTCCTCATACGAAATTGGAATAATTCTTTCTCTGGACTGTTTAGATCTGCTTTCATCATCAAGAGACGACGACCTAGGTGAATGTGGTTTGCTTTTAATATTCATGGTTTATATCAATGAATACATTCTTACAGTTACTTAGATCTTTGACAACATCTGTATCTCGTAAGTTGTGTACAATTCTCTAATAAGAATATTGTACACCCTTTTTAAGCAATAAATAATAATAATAATATGCATACACTAAATAGTAAATAAGAACATCTTATAAGGTTCACCTTATGTTTCCAACTGGTGAAATGGGAAATGTAACTTCACTTCTTTGAGTGGGTAAATTAGGAGCTGCTTCTACGTTATGAGCCATTTCAGTCTTGAACTCCATTACTGCAGGTTTAGGGATAGGGTATTTGAGATTGATTTCTGCTTTGGTTTGTTTCCTTCGGGGTATGGTTGCCGATTTTAGCATTATTTTAGCTGATGATACTTCATCGTTTGTCGCAAATTTCTCCGCTATTTCTTCCGATACGGGCGAAGAAAGTGGTAATTGTTCTATCTAGAAATATATTTGATTCGGTTAATATATAAGTAATATTATTTTATATTTTTTAAATTAACGTACTTCCTTACGCGAATCAAATTGTTCGGAAACAATTCCGATATTTCCCGATGCAGATCTTCCAGACGAGCCAAAAGGTATGGGAGGCTTTCTTCCAACACAAGGCCTCGATTTAGATTTTCTAGTTCCTTCTTTATCCAAGGCCGTAGAAATTATACTGACCGCTTTCTTTTTTCTTTCATCCACATTTTTTTCAGGAACAGTGCTTTCAGTTAAAGTGTTTTGTAGCTGATCTGACTTTTTGATATTTTCGGTGATATTATCAATCTTAACAGAGGACGGTTCGTTACTTGTTTCTTCCTTTGTTTGAATAGAATTTTGTTTTTCTGCAGTCTTTTTAAACGCGGTGTTTTTTAATTGAGGCACATTACTACTTGAGGATAAACTTGCCTTTCGCTCAAATTCTTTCCTAAATCCTCCAACACTCACACCTGGTATAACAATTTTCTTTGATTTTTCATTATTTGACTTGTCGCCTGACGAAACGAGATTCTGAAACTTCTCGGCTGTTTCAAAAATTTTTGAGCGTCGTCTTTCAACAGACTTCTCTAACTTCTTATCATCCTCAACATTTTTTTCTGATAAATTCTCAGTCGGACTAGTTGCAATTTTTCCTGAAGTTGCGTCCTTTTTACAGTCAACCAGATTCTCATTTTTGTCGGTAAGCACTTTTTTTTTAGAAACCTTTTTCTTAGACGGAATTTTAGATTCTTCTGTTTTCGATTCCTTCTTCGCCTTTTTCTCATTTTCTTTGCCCTTTACACTATCTTTTTCTGTTTTTGTAGTAACACTTTCTTTTTCGATACTCTTTTTATCGTTGGTCGTCTCTTCTAAATATTCTTTTGCTGGAGATAAAGGACTTTTCTGAGTTTTTGTTTTGTTTGCTTCATTTTTCTTTGCATCCTCGATAATTTCTGTGCAGGTAGCGCCCATCTTAGACGGGTCAATATTTTCTTCGTTATCGACGTCCATTCTTTTAGTTATAGTACGTGTTGAACTTTTATCAAGAGGAGCGGTTGTGCTAATATCATGTGAAGTTTGATTGTTTTGATTTGTCGGAATAACTTCTGACGTTACATCGGCCACCGTTCTTTCTTTAATTATTTTTTCTTTGCGTTTTGCATCTTCCTGTTGGGTGCTTGATAAATCGGTACTGATGGATAACTCCAGTTTTCGCTTTGCTGTATTGGACTTAACATCTTCCGGTACTAAATCTTCGATCCTCAAGTCTGTTGTATGTGACAGCTCTCGTAGACTACCCACAGATTGGGACCGAGTCGGCGCCAATATTGTATCATTTGTCAGGTTCGATTCTTCGATCTTAAAATTTACAATTACAGAATATTTATTTCATAATAATACCATTATGTACTTACTTCTCCTGTAACCATCAATTTTTCGCTCTCTAATTGCGGTGGAGGTGGTGCCAACGACAATAACAAATCTAATCGTACCGGAGTCTGATTCGCCAGCTCTTCGGATACATCTAAGCAGTTTTCCTCGTAGCCTTCGTTAACCCACCAATGCGAACAAATTTTTTGTACATTGGCTCGATATTTAGGATTTACAGTCAGCATTTCTCTTATTAGAGGCGATGCACCTAGTTAAAAAATCACAATTGTCTAATAATCGAATTGCACAGCCTCCAAAAGGTTAGCTTACGGCTAGGTTTTTTAGGTTCGAAGTAATCTCCTTGAGAAATTTGTTTGACTAGTCTCTTAAAATTACTTCCGTCAAAAGGCATGGCACCATAAACTAATGTATAAAGGAGAACGCCTAATGACCAGCAATCGACTTCAGGACCTTGATATGGTGTACCTTTTACTATTTCAGGAGAAGCATACAGCGGCGACCCACAGTAGGTTGACAAAAGTCGTTGATCGTCGAAGATATTCGACAAACCAAAGTCTGCTATCTATAACAATTACATAAAATTTTGGAAAAATAATTTTTATTTTGTTTTTCAATTACTTTGGCGTTTCCGTTTTCGTCTAACAAAATATTTTCCAGTTTTAAATCTCGATGGCAAATTTTATGCTTGTGGCAATAATAGCATGCAATAGAAATCTGCCTGAATATTCTCCTTGCTTCTTCTTCAGACAGTACTTTTCTTTCTGACAGATAATCATACAGTTCTCCCCCGGCTGCGTATTCCATAACTAGTATCATTTTTTCCCTATTTTCGAAAACTGTAATATCAAAATGAAGTTCCCAATTAAAAATCAAAACACTACATCTTCTGTATACCTTCGTAAATATGGATAATATTCGGGTGTTGAACAGAAGACATAATTTGTATTTCTCTTCGTATTCTAATTAGATCTGCTTCTGTTTCAATTTTTGATTTTTTTATAGTTTTGATAGCTACCTCCTGTCCTGTTTCCTTATTTATTCCTAATTGTACTTTTCCATATGTTCCTTGCCCAAGTTTTTTTATTATGTCAAACCTTATAAATAGATTTTTTATATAACGATTTAAAAGATTCCTTCCAAGTACAGCCTCAGACATTTTAAAGTTTTCACTCTTTATACTTACCGCTGCTTTAATTTTTTTTTGTGATTATGTAGCCTAACCCCTCCTGTATTTTCAATCCCTCCCATAATGTTGTTAATGTTTGGTTCCCCTGATACTACCATTTTTCTAAAAAAGTAAAAGACCACTTTTAATTCTCATTTGTTCCAAACATTCCATTTATACTTTTATTACTTTTAAGAATNCTATTAGTTCGAAAACAAAAAATATTGTAACTTTTTGATTTTCGTTTTAATACTTAATAAAACCATATTCTATTTAAAATCATAATAGATATGATTAGCTTTAAATTGAAAGAACAGAAATTACGTTTCTTTACGCTGTGCCTACTTTAAACTTTATGGTATATTCATCGCACTTTTAATCTAACAAAACAACAAAACAGACAATCTTTAAAATCATTGTACGTCTCCTAAAACAAGAGTATTTTTCTTTTATACACTGGATTGACGGAAGAATGAATTCAAGAATTTGAAACGTTGTTATTTGCTGGCGATTCCGCATTTGAAAATCGATCTATATTTGGTATTAACGATCGTGTATTAAATTTGGATGGGGATTGAAGACTGTAGCTATTCCTAGTTAAATAAAAACTTAAATATGTACTTAGGTAGATTGGTAGAATTTTTTATAACTACGAATTCAACTTACGTTTTGCTTCTTCCAGCTGTAGGTGTAGTGTCCGTTGCGACGCCTTGCTGATTTATTGAGTGGGATGATCTGGGATGATAGGTGTTATGTCTTGGGAGATTAACATAATTATGATTAGAAAGAGAGTCGTTGCCCATTATCGATATTGTTGATGGCTCTTGTAGAGGATAAGACATTTTTTGTTCACTTTTCGACGATTTCTTTCCCGAAGGAGCGTAATTGACGGGCGATCGGTATGGATTGAGATAACCGATGTTTTTATAAAAATCTAAATCTCTGTAAGTTGATACGTTTGTCTTTCGTGGTCTTTTTTTTTCATTAAATCTGGTGTAGAAACTTTTTCTTCTGATCCTATCTATTACTGATTCTCCTTCGTCGGCAGAATAAAATTGTCCTGTGGGTGAAACCGGTGAGGCGAGTTCATGAGTATGATAATCCGAACATACTGACCACGTATCGTTAACATCTTCACCAGGGGATAAAAATAACGAGCTATCATCAGTGGCAAACGAATTCCTATCTTTATCATTATTTTCTTCTTGTGTGTTTTGGTTTTGTTCTATATTAACTGATGGAACAGTACGAGTGTTTGGAACGTTTGACAAATCCAGATGTAAATTTTGACGGTTGAATTTACTCTTTTCGGTATTTAAAGTACCATTAATATTTTCTTGGATCGATTCCGACATGCCCATGGAAGGGACCGAGTCTTTAAGTTTGATATCGTTAAAAGTTTCGGGAAGGTTTTCTTTTCTTTCCTCAGATTTGTAATTTTTAGAAATGTTTTCTAAGTTCAAGCTACGTCTAAACGAATTTACGGGCAATTTGGAAGACTTTTTGTTGGTACATGATTTATCATTTCCCGGTAATAAACTATCGCTTTTAGTATCGGAATAGGGATTTTGAAAATGTTTTATTTTTTCAATTAGTAGAGACCGAGGTCTTTCAGATTTTTCGTTTGCTTGCTTAACTGATACTAGTAATTGATTTGGTTTATGTTTTTCTTTTTGTGCATCTCGCTTTAACAAAGAAATATTTTCATATTGAGATTTACACTTGGAAATCACAGAATTATTAGCACCTAAATGTTCTTTATTAGTATCAGTCTTTTCGTCGATGTGTATGCCGCTTTTTGAAGTTGAACGGTGTTCATCATTCGATTTTTTCAGTTTTTGTTTTTCATTCTTTTTATCCTTCTCTTCATATTTCTTAAATAAATTCAAGATTTTTGTTACTGACTTTTTCGATGTTTGTAACTGTTTAGAACCCAAACTAGGAAAATCTTCAACGGAAACTGCTCTTTTTATTAATCCAGATTCTGTGATATACGGTTCCGCGTCGATAGGGACACTTTGTTCCCGTAAACGCCTAATAGCCGTTTCTACATTTGATTTCTTTTCGTCTTCTTTAATGTCGCTGTTTTCCTCGGTAGCAGTAGTAGCAGCAGCAGCAGAACTAACAGTGGGCAAATTATTAAACGAACGCAATTTTTCAAGTCTTTTTTCTATCGATTGTAATAATTTGTTTTTAGTAGATCTTTCTCTGGTCAAACTTAGTTTTTTTTTTAACTCGTTTTCATCGATTTTATTCTCCACCGCTTTCTCTTTCATATCGTTTTCCTGTAAACTATTATTGTTATAAATGGTTTCCCTTTTATTAGAAGACGATAGCGCGTACTGATTCGTTTTAATTTTATCGTAATTATCGGATCTTTTCAATTTGCATATCTTTGATTTATTTTCATCGTTTTCAGCAATAGTTGGGATTTTAGTAACAAGTTTATTATTCATACTTTCTGTAGGGTAACTTTTAGGGCGAGCTATTTTGGAAATTCTTTCCTTTTTTTGAACGCCAGTTTGTTCGTATACTTTTGGTAGACTCTCCTCAGGCATTTCGTTGTTTTTTAAATTTACGTAATCGTGAATAACATTACTGATAAGTTCTTTATTTAGATTGACATCATCTGATTGATTACCACGATCGTTTTCAGAGGTTAACTGAAAAGGTCCCAAATTGACATAGTCGTGAATATCTCTGACGCTTGTTTCTAAATTTTTAATGTTATCGGATACATTTTTTAGTATGTTTTCAGTTGATTTTGCTAAAATATTGTTACTTCGGTTTAACAGATTGGTCGAATTCTTTTCAGTTCGAATTTCTTTTGCATTGTTATCGGCATGTGTTAAAAAATTATTTTCGGTAATGTTTTCAGCGAGTTCCGTTGTTTTGCGGCGTTCTCTAGAAGCGGACCGTTCTCTCATTTTGCTTTTGCGCCTATCCCGTATTTCTTTTAAGACCTTTTGCGTTTCCAGTTCGCGCTCTTTCTTTTCTCTCAGGTAAGGATTATTAGCTATGGGTTCGTCGCTGCGGCTGTCGAAGAAGTTTGGTCGTAAAAACCTAGATCTCTTCGGCTGTTTGCTTTTTTCGGAATCAGAACAATCAGAAATTTCGTACCTGGAAGGCGATACGGACTCACCTAAACGTTTTGATTCTGACTCAGTTGGATTACACTTAGAGCTATTAGTAGAGTCCGACATACTATTATTCTTGCAAGAATAATAGTTTTCATTTTTGATATTACAAGAAAGTGCATTTGATATACTACCATCTGAATTACTGGCATAAGGTACATAAGCCGACGGTTTTGGAAGTAAATAATCTGGTTTTAGGCTAGATCCCCGTAAGCTTGTACATCTGGCTGCCCTTTTGCGTCTAAAACTATCTAAAGTAAAACATTCAGTATCAGAAGTATTACATCCATCATCGATCGCAGATGAGTGCGATTCAAAACTTGGAGATCTCGTGAAATCAGAATGTCTACTAAAC